CAAAAGACGTTAAAACATAGTACTTGTTGTTACCCTGTCTGGCGCTCGGCATTAAGGGGCTAAAACAAGGACTGGTCGGCTCGGAGTCAGTATACTGTGTCTGAGTGGGGTATCCATGTTAAACTGCGGCATGATATCTCAGTGTGCTAGCACTATAAATCAGCATCATTCCGGACTTGTACAAGCAGCCACACACACACAAGTGCATGCACGTCGCTATATAAGCGCAATAATCTTGGACGCGACGTTAAACCCAATTTCACCTCACCTCACCAGTGGTCAGAATTTGTTCAAAATGTGTTCAAAATTACTATCCATGTACAGGGCTTGTGCTGGTCCTTAGGCATAGAGGGCTGGGGATAGATCATATTACGATAGTAAGCAAAAACCTCTGTATAACAAAGTATACACAGTCTGGACATGCGGTTAATGCTCTCGTCACCTTGACAACTGGAATCGTTGTCTATGTTCATTCACCCCCGTACCACGAATGGTGCCTTTATATATAAACACGATCAACCGATCATACATGATACCCCGCGACCGCAAACCTCGCCTGGTGTGGACATATTTCACTCTTTTTACACTTCTTCACCAAGTGAAGCCTAAACACCTACGGTTAGATGTATGCAGGAATTCTCCCCCTGTGGTGTGTATTGACGTTTCATCTCATGCAGGATATATCACTGTTATGCTTCAGTGCAGATGAGGTGAGGTGAGGTGAAAGGAGGTTTAACTTAGCGTTCAAGATTATTTCACTGCTTATATTAGTCCGGAAATGTATATTTTATAGCTTTTCAACACAGAGGCGAAATGCCGGAGTTTATAAAACATAATCCAATCAGACAAAGTATACTCCGAGCCGACCAGTCCGTGCGTCAGGTAGGGTAACAAATAGCACTATCTCTTAAAGGCAGACCACGAGTGTCGCGGAATTCGGCCTAGGTTACTTCCCTCTACTGACTGTTAGCGGCCATATCTCTTCAGGGTGTCATCACACTGTATCATGGAATGCTGGACCTGTCTAGCACTGGTTTTGTCAAGGCCTCAGTGAAGCTTTCAAAAACTTTTATGGTAGACAAATTTGACGCATCAGTGACAAAAATGATGTCCGATGCAATTCCCTATTTTGACTTGTACCATATGTTCCCATTTTTTCAGGTCAACAATTGACTTGCCTTTGCATGTGTTTGTGACGGGTGCCACCGAAGGGGCAGGATACGCTCACCTTTTCGCGAACACCTGGTATCATTTCTATTTGTAGTGATTCATAAACATATGCTCGTGATAAAGTCGGAATTGTACAATCGCTTTATGCAGAGATTTATATTGGATATGGAAAGGGCTTTGTCGCTTTATTTATGTAGGTGAGTTGGAATAGAAGTTGGGGGGTGGGTTGGGGGAGATTAAGAAATTCACCAACTGAAGACATCTTGCATCTTCTTTCTATCTAAATAGTCACAACAGACAGAACACAGCAGCCTGCATAGATATATGTATAAGGAATATACATGAATTTCATTGAAGAAGTACATGTTTTGTTTTTTAAGTGACAATGACATATATTTTATATTGGGTATTAAATATGTCATTATTAATTAATATATTCGTTTTTTAAGTTGTAATTCATTCCCAGATTCATCAAACTTTCTTCTTGATAGTAGCAAAAACCCAAACGAGAGCAGCACTTGACACTTTTATCGAGTGACATTCCCGGAGATGACAGGGCTAATTGATACGTATAAACAAGGGGCCTCCAGCCTGATGATAAAACTGATAACACCAGCTAGTTACAGACCGTGGGCGGCCTTTAGCGTTATTTGGAAGGACGCGGTCAGAGGATCGAACCAACTGTCCACTGACTCTCTGTCCACTACACCACGGATGCGGTTCTCACATGGCGAACATGCAGTTACTGTATCAGTATGATTTTGGGCGCTGTATCTCATTCCCTGGCAGACTGAAGCGGCAATAGCGTCCTTGGCGATGGTAATTTTGTACTTTGATGTTTGCTCCATTGAAAATATGGAAGGCGTGTGGCGAAAATATGATTTAATCGAAGTTTAATATATGTACGTGACATTTAAATGGGAGGATCGTACGCTGACACGAATACGATAGGCTTCTAATATCAACTATATTAAATCACTAATCATAAACAATAGTTTTGCCAACATGAAAAGATATTTCCGCTTTGCGATTAATGTTTGTTGTTGCCAAAGAAAAAAACGTGGACTGTGAGCGGAAATAAACAAATAGAAATCACGTTTCCTACAACTTCACAGCGTGTAAATATTTTCCTTATATTTGAATATTTAGGAGTTCAATACTAAACGAAACACATTTAATAAAGTATCGTTCACCAATACGAATTTACTTCCGTGTGCCGTTGTTTTGTTATCCCCCACTACGCTTGACGGAGGATGTAAACTAAGCCTTTCCGTCACCAACTCATCTTATTTCGTTAAATATTTCTTTGTGAAGCTTTGTATGCACTTCAAGTAAGTGGTAAACGTTTATATCTATTTGTGGGGGATTGACCATGCATCCTTGAACTGTTTGTATTGAATGTTTATTCGAGGTAGGCGTGTATGTTATAGAGGGCGTTTGCGAGTTTTTTTACCAATGTTGTTTCAAATAATTCTCGATGTCTCTTCGATTAGACGGTTGACTTTGCTTGTATTTAAAGCAGGCGTTTATTCAAATATTATTACAGGGTAGTTTCAAAAGGTCAAGGTTCGCTTCCAGGGCATAACGCAAAATTCGTTGAACACATATGTTCGTGAACTCTAAGAGTGCTGAAATAGTTCCATTGTCTATTCAGGAAGTAATCTTTCAAGTTTCCATGACAACATGTCGTACTTCAGCTGAAGTGAGGGTAGGGTTCATTTCCGGGACGTAACTGATCGCAGTTTGCGAGTGTAATGTTTTTGCCTATACGTTGCAGCCCTTAAAATGAGATCGTCTACTGAGGTATTGCCTCTCAGAACAGCAATAACACGGCAGGTGGCGCTAAGAATGGATTTACACTTTGTACCCATATAGGGATTCGAACTCGCTTCGACAGCAGTTATACACCTGAATCTCTGGATTACGAATTCAAGACAGAGCGGCGTTAAACCCAACTTATTCCGAATTCAAGCAGGACCAAATGTATTTAAAGAGAAGCGCTTAGGAGATTTCCAGTTCCAAGATATAACTACAAAAAATATGTCCTTGTTAAAAAAAAGAGCTGTTTCAAAACTTTAAATGTGTTGAGAGGTCAAGCACATAATACATACACTGACCTTTAAGGGGTTAAACGCATGGACAACGGGATGATCATTTGTGCTCATCTGTATGTCATAAATTAAATGCCATACCGACAGTTTATATGTGCCTATTACGGGATGGACGAATTCGTTGAGGGGTGGTATCAAAAGTCAATCCATCAATTTCAGAATAAGCATAATATCGTTAAATATGTGAACACTGTAGAACAATTACAATCAACAGGAGAGAGCACCCACTAACTATCGCTATGTGAGATATTACATGTCAAGCCGACAGAGTATTTTATTGATAAATCAACAAAAAGGTTTGCGAATAGCACGTCGCTGTGGAATGTAGACCACACCCCTACTTAAAATAACAAGGATGACTGGGAAATAATCGTTTACAAAGGTGTAGATATATATATAACTTTATATAGTTTTAGTTATACATAGAGAGAGATAATATACACAAGTAAAAATATTAGCTGTACACACACACACACAAAAAAAAAAACCCCACACACACATATATACACAGAGAGAGAGACAGACAGACAGAGAGAGAGAGAGAGAGAGAGAGAGAGAGAGAGAGAGGGAGAGAGAGAGAGAGATATAATCTTTTGACTATTAATCTATTAATATATATGCACAAAAATGAGGCAAATGTTCACTCGGTGAACATGTAATATGTAATAAAATAATAAACTCCGATCCTTGTTAGTTCAACATCTTCTTTATATCAGTTTCAGACATAGTACTTTCACTGTATTGAAACATATATATATATATATATATATATATATATATATATATATATATATATATATATATAAAACTGAGATAAAATGAGATTTCCTTCTATAATTAAATGTAGCAATATGTTCCGTACCAAATCACTCGGTGAAACCAGTAAACAGTTTGAGTATTCGAGAGTAATTATACATCACAGAAACCCTGTTACAATGACGTGGTTGTCCGACACTTGATATCGCCACGTACCACAACGATACACAGGCAGCGTCGATATAAACGGCGTACGCATGTATATTAGTGAGTTTGTGCAGGTAGCACCGGATTTGAAATTTTGCCTTATTGTCTCTGTGTTTTGTATGTCCCCCCCAAAAAAACGATAAAAGCCTTCCCGACTCTTTGTCCACTGACAAAATCTATTTTAAACCGAAACCGCGACTGGCTTGCCTTTAAACAAATTAACATCCGATATTAACGCCGGAATATATTACCGGTTGCTGAATGTTTCGCGATTCGAGAATTGACTCCTAAAGTACAGTAAACTACGTTTATATCGAACTGATGGATATAACGAACTTATTTTTTAGTCCAGGGAATTTGCTGAATATAGGTTGTATATATGCTTATAACGAACTACGGTTATTACGAACTAAAATTAGTGGTCCCTTTGAGTTCGTTATAACCGTAGTTTACTGTATTCACTATCTATATCTGTATAGAATATTCAATACCGCCATACGTTTAGAAACCCGTGGTGTTAATGTGAATGACTATTTCATTCAAAACTCGCCTCCAATATCAATTATGAATAGCGTTTGCATTTGACCCGTGAAACATTTCCTCAAAGCATGTGTGATAATGAAAAAGAGCTTTATAGCGCCTGCATGGTATGTGCAGAATGCATATTCATTTGCCACGTGGTGAGCTGCACACTGTTACTATATTTATAAGAAGCACAAAAGAGACTTATCATTACGTCATGCACACTTATTTCTGAAATGCGACAGCACCGAATTCTATTCAATTCGATTATTTCAACTATACGATGGAACTAATCACTTGGCTTTTAGCTCTGCAGACACTCGCCAGCATCGTCTCTAGGGGACCATCATATAATATTAACCTCAGGAGAACCACTCGTGCATAGCTAGATGACGGTGTTCACCAGGTCACGGGCTTACTGAGATAACTACTCTATGCTTATTGTGCACCCAGGGGCTGACATCATCCGATGTCTTGTTGACTTGTTGACTTGATGACTGCAACTGTTAAAACTGTATTTCGGAGGAGGAGGTTTGATGGGATGGAATGAATGCACAGATCCATTGTCACGACTCCTAAACATCGGAGGGAGGGACGGGCTGATTTTTTTATACGACACCAGGATCTGTATCTGTTCGCGGAGTGAATAACTTACTTTAAAGTCGGCAACGTGACACACAGGCGGAACATTTGTGGCTTAGTAAGTGTACATTGATTCACAATCTCGTTCAGCAACAGCTGAAAGTGACGTGCGTTATAACGAGGACTATTGTCGCGGGAGGAATTTGACAGAAGGCTATGGGGGGAGAAATGGGGTAAGTGTGTGGTTTACAACTCTGATACATTCTTACGGTAGGTAAGAGATGTTTATGTACATCTTAGTAAGCGATATCTACTTAACTCTTGGTCTTGGCCGGGATTAGAAATGTTATCAAGGGATATATAAGTCAGGTATAGTTATCACGCTTTTAGACAATGGACACTGCGGGCATTGTTGATAATAGATTAGTACATGCAGATGTAGACCAGTGAGTCTATTGACAATATGGATATCAATTATTTAAGCTATGGGCAGGTCTGTGTGTTATACAAGACGTACACTGTTCTCTTAACACGTGTCGAATTAATCATACGATGACCTATGTCATTGAGGCGCGTGCGTTAGTTGGTATGTACATTTGTAGGGCATACCACCGCTTTTGATAAACGCTTTGACTGCCTCCGTGGTATGGTGCTAGAGCGTTTGCCTGGAGAGCGGAGGGTCGAGGGTTCGATTCCCCGCCACGTCATACCAAAAGACGTTAAAATATGGTACTTGTTGTTACCCTGCCAGGCGGTAGGCGTCAAGGGGCTAAAACAAGGACTGGTCGGCTCGGCGTCATTTTACTGTGTCTGAGTGGGGTATTCGTGTAACGCGGCATGGTTTCTCAGTTTGCTAGCACTATTAATTCGGTATGACATTAGTCCGGACTAGTACATGAATAACTATCAAATAGTGATGATACCAGGTGTTCGCGAAAAAGTGAGCGTATCCTGCCCCACCGGTGGCACCGTTACAAACACATGCAAAGACAAGTCAATTGTTCACCTTGGAAAACACAGGAACATGTGGTACATCTTAAAATAGGGAATTGCATCGGACACGGACATCAGGACGGTAAATCAGTGGAAGGGAATTGGCAATTTGATGGTTATTGAACGATATCAGATCATCAAAAGTTAAACTTCCGACCAAATTACCTTGTTTCGACTTTGCCAATCAGAAATTCCGATTCATATGCAAAAGAAACAGATCCACAAGAAGGGAGCACAATTGGTGCCCATGGGGATGCCTACTTCTAGCCCAAATGTGCCACCCCCAATTTTTACATAGATGTTATCGATGAGGAAGTCCAACATTTCACATATTGTTTTCTCAGTAAACTTCAGATGGCATTTGCTTTCAGTTTTGACACATTGTCCTGAACTTGTGAAGATAGATACATAAACCCATGGGTGACCCATATGGTGCTAACATACCCAGGACATGTCAGTGACAATCTAGAATTCGAACCCAAGAACGGCGGATCCTGACACGACTATGGGAGGTAACTCAGCACAGAGAGTGGTAGCGCATTTTATCACCTTGTCTAGCACCTTACTGACGTTAGGCGAACTAGGCAGCGCATCACATAATGGTGTGGTCATTAGAGTTTTTTTGCCTTCATGAAAACTGACATATGTATCATTCTCCATAATTTATGCTGTGGGGATATATGGATCAAAGAGGAATACAAAATATTTGAGTGGGCGTAGCGATTGTTTGGATGCAAAATTAGTTGCACTGTGCTCTGCAGCAAATCATCTAGTGACGCTTTGCAAGTGCGTCATGTATATGTATCAAACTGCGACAAACTGTGTTAATTAGATTTCTGAACTCGGTAACTTGCTAATTTCCTTATAAGCATACTGGAAAGGTCTTTACGAACACTTCCGAGTTTTACATCTCTATCAAATATTTTATTCACGTAACAGCACAGTGGGATTAATCGTATGGACAAGCATGGAAACACTACTTGTGTATGTATGGTCATTGGACAACAGGAATCTGTACTGTATTATTATGTTTATTGCAACAATAACATGTTTACGTGTAATAACGAGACATTGCATCCACATACCTTCAAGCCTGGTTTTCGCAACATAGATTTCATAGCATTAAGGGGGTAGTATTAAGTGTGGGCGGGGGTAGCCTAGTTGTTAAAGCGTTCGCCCGTCACGCCGAGAGCCCGGGTTCGATTTGCTGGTGGTGTGTGATATTGCTGGAATATTGCCGTAAAACCACACTCACTTACTTAGCCCTGTGAGACTTGGGGCAACTTTGGTGTCCAGTAAATGTTCGTCGTTACCATCAGCGTGAAATGTAGATGTGAGTTGCAGAGTCCTTCGCTTGGATAAAGTCGGCTGGCCTGAAAAGTGAAACAGAAGGCTTTCTGTTTGCTGCTCAGGACCAGTCACTCGAAACCGTCAATGTGTGATTTTGTATCAAACTGCAAATATGAAATGTAAGATTATGCATTGAGACCGTCCAACTTATTGTCAGTGGATGCCCAGCTCTGGCACAAACACAGCATCTTAAGCGACATGATGGAGTGGCTCGATGATTTTATTACCGTCTTTGCCATGCTTGTGGTTTTGACACAGAGGTCCATCCATAATACGACCCAGAATATATAGAGGGCGTCATGGAAAATGATAATTACAAAATTCTTTGGAATAGGCACCTTATATAACCTTAGACCTACCCAGGCCAACAAACCTGATCTTGTCTTTTTTCATAAATCCAATAAAATAATTTTCATCGAATTCTCTGTTCCTTTTGATATTAATGTGATTGATAAGATTCAGGAAAAACATGGCAAATATGCAGACCTCGCTTTCCAAATGTCACGCTTGCATCCAAAGTACCAAGTTGTCCGACTCCCCATTGTTCCCGCTGCCTTAGGTTTGGTACCTCCCAATCTGTTGACTGACATTGGAAGAGTACCCGGGTTTGCTGCCAGGAATACAGCCCTTCTGACAATCTGGGTAATACAGAAGGCTGCAGTGTTAGGGAGGCTTCACATTCTCCGAAAAGTTCTGAGTGGGTTCGACTAGGCAACGCTTCTCTGGTCTTAGTGTAGAGGGGGCAAGGACCCTGAGCGGATGATGAGCCTAACCAGCCTGACTGTGCCAGGATCACCCAAACCCTCTTTGCTGCATTTTTTATTTTATTCTGTAAATAATAATAATAATAATAATAATAATGATGATGATGATGATGATGATGATGATGATGGTGATGATGATGATGGTGGTTGTAATAATAATAATTATTATCAAAGAGTTTTCTAAGCTTTACAATGCAAAATGTAATATCCTATTTTATAAATACATAATGATTAATGTTAAGTGTGTATATATGGCCGGGACATAATTTCACGTCGTAATTTCCATTCTCCTGTTTCAGTCCAAACTTCACATAAAACACTAAATATATCGCAAATGACAGCATTATCTATAAATCTGTCTCATCTCACCACCATGCCATCCGTACCTTGCTACAGGATGTCCCATTAGCTCCAATCATAACCTACAGGACTGTTTGGCAAAAACTCTAAAACCAACAAAATCAATACCCATACACTATACATGACGGCGGCTTCAGCTTACTGTGGTTGCAGCTGCAGGCAGGCTGTACTACAAAGGCAACATCAGCTGCATCAATTATTCCAACTGGCGGCAGTCGGACAGCTGTACAATCCCGCTCTTGTAAAATATAGGTAACGCTAGCCCACAGCGCCATGTGTGTATTGCCAATACTTCTGTGATCATCGAGAGACGCAGGCACTTGTTTCAGTAAGTACTATTAAGTTCATCCCCATCTTCCCAGTACTATTCTCAAACTGTTAAGTGCGTTGTCGTGTCGCTGTACCATGAAATAAATGATCTAATTCTTAAATGACGCGATTTGCACTTTAAAGTTCTGATATATATTATTGTTCATTTTTTTTCTATACTGGCCTAAATCGCTCATGTTAGCCTAAGGCTATGTTGTGATCGAGTAGGGACTAGATGCAGGCTAGAAAGTCAAAGTGGCCGTGAGTTAGTAAGGTGTTTCTGTTTACAGATTAATGTATTTGATATAGGGATGTATCATATAGTCGATTCGGAAAACGCGTCTTGATTTCGTTCAACATGCAAGGATGTAAATGCTTCTAGATTTGGTCATAAAAGTTACTGTTGATATTATAATAATACATCATATCTCAAATGAATTTAAATGAGCAGGCTATTACATTGTAGCACATGCTATCGAGGTGTCAATTACTTTATTGAGCCCTCTGTTTGCACATTGTTCGTGTTTGTTGTCAAGGTCACTCTAAACCAGCACGAGGGTGTCAAATGACACACATTATCTGCATTGAATTCCACTTAAGGAATCGATATACTTGAACTATGCGGTCTAGTTAATTGCCATCACCTGTTACCAGTGTGTCAGTGAAATGAGCATGAGTGAGTGAGTGAGTGAGTGAGTATGGTTTTACGCCGCCTTTAACAATGTTCCAGCTATATCAGGGCGGGGGATACCAGAAATGGGCTTCACACATTGTACCTATGTCGGGAATCGAACCCGGGTCTTCGGCGTGACGAGTGAACGCCTTAACCACTAGTCTACCCGACCGCCCCTAGCATGAGTGCAAATGCGCGTGTTGAAGTGTCTAAAATCCATGTACTCATATACATGTGTCTATCTATGGGGATTCCAAGGGCAGAATACACCGCCCCATGAACCCCTGCTTATCCGACAGTTAAAGGTCGCTGGTCAACGTGTAGTCTGTTGATTGTATGTCTCTGTACTCAGATGGCGTGGCTAATTGCTTATGCTATCAACCACTGGGCTGTCTCTTCCGATTATTTACAGGTGGCCGCGATACATCTGAAGTATTGCTGATTGCACATGTCATAAAACAATATTCTCCCATTCACATATAAGTATGTGTGTTTAAAAAAATCTAATTTAATTTGGGTATCGCTACATCAGAAAATTCAACATTCTAACACTTTCTGTACAGTAGATCAGTGATATTCCCAAACATATTACGAACACGCGTTGTAAAAGCAAACATTTCATTTATCAAATTATTGTGTGCGTGCGTGCGTGCGTGTGTGCGTGCGTGATTATGTGTTTGTGGTGTGTGTGTCGGGAGGAGTGGGATTTCGGGATTTTTAGCGGTCAGCACTCTTTTTGGAGTTTTATTTATATTATTATATTTTCCAACAAAAACAGGTGTTC